ATTATATATAAATTTTTTTCATACCGGAATAAAAGATTTAGCTTCTGATAAAATTAATACTGGAATATCAGTTTCATATTCTATTTTATAAAATTTAAAATCATATGTCACTTTTTGAAAGTTAATCAAATCGCAAATCGCATTGTAATTTTCTCTTCCAGCTTGTGTTATTTGACCAGTAGTTAATCCTGTTTCATCTATTATAAGATGTGTATTGTCGCTCAGTTGGAGAACTCCACTAGTTAGTCTATTACATTCATAATCTTTCCTAATAATAAAAAAAATATATCGTAAATTAAATAATATTAATTCTTATATGGAAAAAAATTGTATTTAAATTAATATTTGCTTACTTTGGTATTAAATTCAAATCATTTAAATTCTCCAAAGTAATTTCCAATAAATGACTTTTCTTAACAAGTAAATTTAAAAATTTGTATAAATCTTTTGGAAATTCTTTATGTTTAATCATAGGAAAATGTGTTATATTTAAGGGATAAGTACCAAGACAAAAGTAATCTCTTCTCATATAACTAAAATAATGGTTTTAAAAATGTATTAATCAGATTTTCATCGTGAAATAATAAAAAAAATAAATAAAATATATTTACACTGAGGAAAGTAAATGACAGATTAAATAATCTGCAGCTAAGTGATCTCCAAACAGAAGCTCACTTAATATTAAATGAAGATCGTTTCTAATTAACTCTGCTTTGGACATTACTTCTGAGACAATTTTTATGTCTTGTTTAATTGGTTGGATTATTTTTATAGCATGTAATCGTGGAACAAGAGATGCAGGTGGATGATGAACAGTTATTTCAGCTTCTGTCATAGTCTCATCTGAATGAACAATATTTAAAAAAGGATCCAAAGATATAAAACCTATTATTTCAATAATTTGATTCAGCTTTAAAGTCATATCTTCATATATCTGTAATTTAATATAGAAAAATATAAATTATATGACAGCAAATTTTATATGTGATTTATATAACATAAAAATTGTTAATATTATATGAAATATAAATATTAAAAATTCATTAATAACCTTTACAATACAAGCTTTACCATCATTTATAGGAATAGGAAAATTTAATATATATTCTTCTGAAACTAAACATTGCCTTGTATCATATTCTATTTTCTTATTATCATCAATTTTTTCTTTCTTTCGTACTGACTCCGAACAGTCCATAGGTTCACAGTTATCTTCATCTAAATTTCTTTTATACCTATTAATTAATTTTGAATAATGTAATTGCTTGTATGTTTTCTTTACCCAATCATTTAAACCTGGAATTGATATTACAATACATGTATGTCTTTCTGAATTTTGGTTCTTTTCTGATTCCAATAAAATTGTTTCATGTGGCTAAAAAACACATACAATAAAATTATTAAATTTCAAATAAAAAGATATTAAAAATATGTGTATTATATAATTCTTAAATATTTATATAAAATAATAATGTAGGCAGTTATATACATGAAATAAGCTATTCTTTTCGCATTTCACACCTGAAACTACCATATATTTACTATAAGCCTCATTGATATACATCCATATAATTTTAATTTTAATATGGACAAAAGAATATATTGAAAGGCCTTATGAAATAAAATTTTAGTTAAATAATTACCAAACATTTTGCTGTATCTATGTACATCCCAGACTTCAGCTCAAATGTTTCAGTTTGATTATTCTTCACTTCATATTGTTGTAAATAATATTCAGGATCATGCATATCTTGAATCATCCCTTTAAATCTGACTAATTGTTTATCTTTGAATTCATGAAGAGGAACATTATTTAGTAACGGAATTTCATTTAAAGTATCTAAATTTTCCAAAATCACATTACAATTCGATCGATTTGCAATAAAGTAATCAGGTGTCCAATCCGTTATTTTAAGTGAAGCTAAAATAAAATATTAATACTTATATTCTTAATATTTATTTTTTGATTAATTTTATTCAACAATGATTTAATAATAGCATAAAAGTACTTCAATAAAAAAGCATACTTACAAATCATTATAAAGTTATAACACAAATATCAAATCTCTACTGAAATCAATTATAAAGTAACCTCGAAAAATCTTATTAAATAAGAAAATATATTAAAGAAATAAAAAAATCGCAAAAATATAAATATCCACTAAATACAATTAAACATTTTCGATTATTCATAAACAAAATATTTAAATAAAAGATTTATACATAAAATACTCTTTTAGATATTTATATACAGAAGTATAGTAATATAGTAGCGCTTTTCTTTTAAAAAGAAAACTTATGTGTAAATTTAACAGATATATTAGAGCATCATATTAGAGCCATCTTTTGAGCATATAAATTTTATACTAATATAGGCAAGAACAAATAGCAAAAGAAAGATAGAGATACGTTAAAAATTTTGGAATCAGCGCCATCTTCAGAATGCCGCAAATGAAATAGAAATATAAACAGAAAAAAAGAAGGATATAGATAAAATAAAAATTGTTCATCAACGCCATTTCTTAAATGTCAAAAACATCTTTCTAAAAACATTCAAAATATACCGCTTATCTTCAATTATTATTCCATTTTAATCAAAGAATAAATGTTATGATTTAAATTATCTTTGACATTCGACAGATAGTATTAGTATTAATTCTTATCCTATCTTTATCCTTCTTTTTTACTCGTTATTTACTCTTTTTATGTATATTTATATTTTGTTTGCTGTACTTCGGAAATGACGTTAATTTCAAAATTTTTTAATAATCTCTATTCTTTTTTCATTATTATCTTCCTATATTTACTTACATGATTATAAATGGGATACAAAGTATCAATTAAATGCATTTCCTTTTTATAAAATATTATAATTTTTAATGTAAAAAATACAGATACAGATATTCTTATTTTAGAATATACATCTAAAACAGATTTTGTAAAATGTTTTGTTAAAATGTTTTTTAAAATTAATATTAATATTAATATAATTACGAAATAATTTACAATTAACAAAATTAATTTAATATTAATTTACAATTGATAGTAATTAATTATTAACTGATATTAATTAATTAGTAGTTATACAACAAATTTTAATAATTTTCTTAAGATTATTGATTAATTGCAAAAATCATCGTTGTCAAACTCTTAATCAGAAGATAATTCATTAACGTTTCTTTTTTAATATTTTTGTATATTGACTATTAGAATTTCGAGCTAACTGATATGCTGTCTTTCCAGCATAGTTTTTTGTATTTAAACAAGTCTTGCTTTTTTGAAGAAGAAGCGTAATTATTGATTCATATGCTCGTTCTATAGCTAGATGAAGAGCAGTCCTTCCTGTTAAACCCTCCCTGGCTTCAATATTCGCACCATGATCTATCAGAAGTCGTACAAGCTCTATATGATTCGATGAAACGGCAATGTGTATACACATTTGTCCTATAACATAAGATATTTTATATTAATATATGATGATATTTAAATTAACATTCATAATAATATAACAAT